GGCCTGCTGATTTCCTTGCTAGCACGGGAGCATCTATACCCCAGAGACGCACCCTTCTTCCTGAGGGCATTCCCCTCCGGCTTCGGACGCTCATTCGGATGGACCAGTTAGAGTACCCATCCTTTAGATTTGGTCGACCGCCGCCTCCTGCCCCTAACTAGATTTGACATTCTGGTTTCCATGCCAGGTCACTCTGACCAGGACGTCCTTTTATGAGGTTTTGATTTTAGATCCACAACGGATACTTTTGTGATCCTTGTATTTTTATTTTTTTTATTTTTATTTTTATTTTTATTTTATTTTCTCTGCTTTTGATGTTGCTCTATGTATTTCCGACTTGGATGTAGACCTTTGACTTCTTTAGCCCTAGCTGGGCCATTATATTCACAGGTTGGGGGTGTAGCCTCAACCCCTCATCCCAAGCTGGGATGCTTATATATATAAAAAAAAAAAAACTCCTTTGTTCTAGTCCTTTCTTCTTGATGGATTTTCTGCTTTGAGAGATCGATTAGGAGTATAAATTTCGATATAAATGACGACTGAACTCCTGACTAAAAGGAAGGAGGAAGAAGCAAGCGATCCTGTTTTCGAGCTGGGATGCCTGCCATGAGAACTGAAAGGACGAATGGGATAAGGGCATGGCCCTATATACCCGTGCATCCAAGATTTGGACCCCAAGTCACCAAAAAGTTTTATCTAGAGGAGCAACAACACTCTTTGGAGGTATTGCGCAGTCCGGTAGAGGCCGAAAAGCTCCCGGTCAGTCTCGGGCTGACCCCGTTCAGTCCCAGGCAGTAGCCAATGAGTCACGAAACGCTCTAGCAGGATTCTATTAGCAGCGGCAATGCCCGGAAGCAGCCGCTTCAGGCCCAAACAGAAATATCAGCAAAGGGCAGATTTTGAGCATTCAAATGAAACTAATCACCATTACCATGCCAGTACTTTTAAGGGTGTATAATGCAACCACTAACAGAAGAATATAAGTGGTTAGAAAACATAAATTAGTACTTTTAAGGGTGTATAATGCAACCACTAACAGAAGAATATAAGTGGTTAGAAAACATAAATTTAAATAAATCAAGTACATGTTGTGAGTGAGTGTTGTATGAGTGATTGATTTTTAATTACTCCATTTAATGGAACGAGTCTTATCTTTGTTGAATGAAGGGATACAGATAGAAATTAGAATACATTGAGTGAGTTCAAGTGTTTTTTCTTTTT